GTTGTGGATGTCCAACTGATCCAGCAGGGGATCGCCATACTGCAATTCAATTAGTGACTATGCTGGCAGAAGAGGCGAGCACAACCCACTTTGGAGACGGAGGCGGTAAAAACGACGACCTCATACAACTCCCCGACCCTTTTCATAAATTGGTCGACGCCAGGTCGTTTGATGACGTAAATGTTGTGGTACTGGCCCTCGATTTCAACAGGTATGGTGAAGTCTGCCCGTTCGAGAACCTGAAATTGCCATTCAGTATTTTGACTGGCTTGGGAACAAGAGGGAAAAAAGTACCTTGAAGCTACTGTGAACTAGGGTTTCATCCAGATCTAGAACCAAACACTTTCTGTCACGCAGGTGAGGTAAAGGCGGAGGCAAAAGGAATTGACCATGCTCATCAGGATCCACCGTCTCGATGTGTTTCTCGCTCGGAGGCATCGGCGGGGGCGGTAACTCGGGGGCTAGCGTTGAGGCCTCTTCATCGTGGGAGGCGTACTTGAGGTCGTTTGTTGTGTCGTTCTCCGCGGGGAATTGGTGTAGCTCATCGTCCGCCGGAGGAAGTTCCTGGGTCTGGGCCTGCTCCGTCTGCAATCGTGACTTCTCCTTGTCCTGTGGCACGGCATCGTCCTCGGTCTTCTCGACCCCATTCGGGAATACGGCGCCCCCTTCAACGGTCGCAACGACGATGTTCGGACCCTGAGTTTCGGAATCGTCCTTGGTCGGAGTGTGCCCCTGATCCTCTGCAGATTGACCGGACGGCGCTGCCAAACCATCGAGCTTCAAGCCCTGATCTAAAGGTTTACCAGTGCGTTCCTCACCTTTTTGCGATCCGGACTGATCCGCAGTGACAGTCATGTTGGATTTCTCGTCGCGATAGTAGCATGGTTCCTTAGATTCCGCCGTGCTCGAGTCTCCAGCATTAGCCTCTGTCTTCTCGGGAGTTGGCTGCGTGTTGGGAACTGATAGCCGTCGGGATGTTCTCTTTGCGGGAATAGCTGTGTCCTCCGGGTCGACGTTGGATGAAGAACAACAACTGAGAAACGCGAATAGCCTGTAGGTGACCTTGCTTTTCCTTTCCGGTTTGGGAGTGTCACGCGGATCGCCGGTCGCTGTTTTGTCCTCCTCTATACTTCCCCCTTCCTGATTTTGTCGACGTGATCGCATACTGCTGCCTCTGCTCCGGTCGCGTCGCCCTTTCAGGATGCTTCTTTTCGATCCGCGGAGAGTGTTCTCGGAGTCATCGTTGACAGTATCCTGGCTCTTGTCCAGAGTCGACTGCCGGTCGGCCTTCAGGGATGCACGCGACGAGATCGGGAGTAGTAGATGATGCTTTTTCGGAGGATCAGTGGAGGTAGCCGCAGCAACGCCCGGAGTCGCGACAGACGGTTGAGCCGGGTCGATAGCTTCTGGACCGGTGGACGGGGCTGGTGCACTTGGATTGGCGGATTGTTCCTGAGGCGCTGCCTCAGGATCTAAAGAAGTAAAGTCTTAGCGATGACATTCATCGAAAGCGCCCGGTCGCGTTAACGGGTAAGGGGCGGAAAGCTTACTTGGCTCAGGGTGACCTGCTGCGACAGACATGGACGCTTGTTCTCTGGCCGCGGTGGAGTTGGATGGTAAAGAATCTCGCTCCGAGCTCCCTCCGAGCATTGAGGGTAGCAGAGCGAGGTTCACGGGGATGAAAGGCGATTAAGAAAAAAAAATTAAAAGGAGGTGGGTGTGGCAAGAGGACGAAACGTCGGAACAAGGACCACCAGGGTATCCGCCGAGGAGAGAGAGGGGGGGGGGGAAGGGACCGGACCGGGGCTCGTTGAAGGTGAAGGTGCAGCAGCAGGCACGCCTCCTGGATCTGGCGGAGGAGGGATGGAGGAGAAGAAGAGATGGAATGGAGGATGGAAGTAAAGCAAGTCAATACCAGCAATAGCAGGCAGTCCTCAGGTAGGTCAAGGTTGCTTGGACTAGCTCTGGGTCGCGGACCACCGCCTCGAATGAGGCTAGTGCACAGCACTAAGACTTGTCGCAGTTGGGGGAATTTGAGGGGGGGGGAGCAATCCAATCACTGCTTAGACCTTTCTCCAAAAATCCTGGAAACCGGACTGTAGACAAGTATAAAATATGATCATATGCGACTGGCACGATCTCGCCGTCTGGGGGAACGTTCGCAGGGACAGGCTGACAGGCAGGCAGGCAGGCAGGGTCGGGCGTGGGAGTGCAGAGAGGAGATCACGTGGCAATACCAGGATGCAGCTCCTCGAACTCTCAATAATAAATTACTAAGAATAAAAATTAAAAAGTTGAGAGGGAGGGAGAAAGGGAAATGACCGGGTATTGGAGGTGGAACGGGCCCTTCCTTTAGGGTACAACGACGGGAATGTTGCACTGGGGCTGACGGATGGGGAGGGGAGGAGTGAAGTTTAATAATGATAATAATAAAGGAAAGGTGAAGGTTGCTGAGCCCTGGCCTTGTCCTCCGATCGGCGGTCGACGATCAGGTCTTCTTGTCTCTGGTCCTTATGGCCCGTTCGATGGCCCGTTCAAGCGCTTAGATGAAAGAATAGGAATAGCTGGAGCTGGTCAGATAGCAGCGAACAGCAGGGAAAGCAGTTGGCAGAAGGATAGAATGAAGAGACGAGAATGCGTTCTTACGAAATGTGAGGGGAGGAACGAAAGGAGGGGAAGGAAACGGTAATGTAATCCTAGGTTGCACAAGGGTAAAGGAGCACCACTGCTTGGGGGTGTATTAAACAAGCCTGGTGTCCTGAGCTCGGCTCCTGGACTTACTTGACTAACCGATTTGAGGAGATTAGCAAAAAAAAAAAAAAAAAAAAAGAAGGGAAAAAGGAAAAAGGGGACCAGATGAACAAGAAGACCACAGGAGGGAAGATGGAGGGGAGGAGAGGGGGGAGGGAGAAAGCAGAACAGACAGACGGTCCTGACGGAAGAGGAGGAACTGAGAGAGTGAGGAGCGGGGGAAAGCAATAATAAGAAACAACAATAATAACAACAATCTTGACCATAACAATAAGAAAATGATTACGCCAGTTGACTGCGACCAAATACTATGTATCAGCCCAAGACAAATTGCCTATGCACAGTACATTTTCTTTCGCTTGGACATGATTGAATGGACGTGCATTCCAAAGTCTTCTTTCCTACCGTGGTCACAGAAGCTGGCAGTTGGTCTGCGGAGCACCTCCGTACAGCTTGTTAAGAAGGCGAAAAGGAGGAGGACAGAGACCCGAGGGTGAAAATGGTCTGGACCGGAGAGGAAAAAGGTGCAGGGCTGCAACTCAGTTCGGGCGGAAGTGGGAGGTGCCATCGCAATTTCATTGCTCGTTCAAATCGATGCTAGGCTAAACATGACATCTGCTTTGGTTTAGTCTGGGCGAGCAGCAGCCTTCTCTACATCACTAAAAGTACATTATCCACCCTCCTCCCCATGCTTTCATCCTCTACTTTAGCTTGAACCAATCACCCGCGTTTATCCCCGAGTTCAAGCGCACAGGGACCCATTGGATAGGCAGGTGTTTCCACCGCAGATGACCAGAGTGGGCATAATCCAGGGGTATCAGCATCAATGATCTCATTGAGGTCGGTGATACTCAATACAGGCACCGGCACCTGCTTCCATGATGTCTTTTTGCTCTACCCATCCTCCTCAGCAATCGATCTCTTCTTCAATCAGCCGAACCTGGGCTAATTCATGCAGATGAACCTTGCTTCCCATTTGTACTTCACTTCCATACAAAATAACAGCTAATATTACTACCACGAGCGATCAGACTGACTAGTCAGTAGCACAGAATCTTTGATTCAATGTCAATTCTTGAGATCCTGCACCGGACGGATTCCGCCAGATACCGGCCGACCAGCTCTAAAGACGGCGATAGCCAATGTGCCTTACAGCTCCACCCTCTTGCTCGCTCGTATTCCGATCGCAGGCTCATCTGTGGCAGGCTGGCAGTTCTCCGACTCCACCAATTTCTGGTTCTACAGGGCCAACCTTATTGATCTAATCCTCCGCCATTGGCATTCGCATGCGATCGGCTCGCGACCCTCTTCAATGATGATGTTCATCCATGCGTCCAAGACCACTAGTTGACCTTGGCCCACAATAGCTAACCGCCATCTCTACCTTATCACAAATTCACAGTGCGTTCGGGGCGGAGCAAGCCTGTATTCCCGACTGAGCCTGCGAATCAGAAGTCACACAACCAGCTGAGCCCAGGCCTCAGGTCCGTGCATCCCCTCCCAAGAGGGATTTCGTGGATTCGCGGGCAGGTGGCTCATTTCCCTATCATGCAGCAAAGATCGATATTTTCCGCTGTAGACTTGATCAAAGGCACACGTACCGCGACTACCTGCATGCGTACAGTTCAATGTAGCCGAAGTGTGTCTACTCCGTATTACTCTGCGCCCTCTTCGCCCCCCGGTCATCGCCCGCATGGAATCGAGATTATCGCCATAGACGCTCCTGTATCCGGTCGCTACTCCGTACAGGTGGGCTAAGTCAGCTATCTCAAGGGTGTGGCATGCACGCTTGCACAACCTGTAATAAATCATTCCAGTGAGGTTGAATGCGGAGCTGGCAATGAACTCTTAAGCGCCCATCAATGCTCGACGGCTTTCCGATAGTGATCACACACCCACGCGATGTCATCAGAAAAAGAGGTCTAAAGCCACCAGAGGCAGGTCCGTCAGGGGCCATCTCGACCCCCCTTGATTTAAAGGAGTATGATACGTACACGCCTGAAGGTAGATGTATGTATGTATGTATGGATCTTGCAACATCCGCATTAGCCTTAAGCTTCCGGGTAATTGGCGCACCTCGTGCTTCTGGGGGGACGCCGAACACTTCGAAGTTCGAACTCACGGCAACTTTGCCCGTTAACAAAGCTTAACCCAGTTTACGAGTATGTACTGTAGTCACTCAGACTACAAAGGTCCTTTGAACCGCATTCTTACTGTGTGCTTCCCGCCCACGATATCTCCGCCATCAAGGCCGAGGGCACCATATAGTGGCAACCCCGCAAAAGTGGCCCACCAGATTTGGGCATCCGATGTCTCAAAACCTTGAAAACAGCCTTGATGCCCAGAATCGATCGCTCGTATCGTTACGCAAGATTGGAATCGCTACGAATTGTGCCTCTAGCAGGACAACCCCGGCTTAGCTGCAGTGACCTTGGTCCCCTTTGGGATAGCGGGCGCTTACGCGGGCGCCGGGCGCCCGGGTGTACTGTACCTAGAGGTGCACCACCACTGTAATGGACTGCGATGAGTTTCCATACAGCCTTGAGATCGCGGGAACCTGGGGTTCTCTTTATTACTGGCCAGTAGGGATAAAATCGAGGGATCAATCCTTGATTCACAGTGCATCCACCCAGAGAGACAAAGGGTAGAGGAAGCCTGAAGGGAGAGAAGAAAAAAAAAAGAAGGGGTGATGGGCGAGTGGGCCGAGAGTCACCCGGAGGCTTGGCTTGCGGGCTGGCCGAACCGAGACAGGAGACTACACTTTCTCTACTCGACCATCCGTTGTTGAAACTACTCAATGTACATAATGATGGCTTATAACTTTCAAACGCCATGTCGACAGCCAAGTCGCAAAACTACACATCTATCAACAAGAATCTATATGCATTACTGGTTTGCTACATAGACTCTTATTTCAACGGAAGGCTGCTCAGCTACCCGGCCGTAACCGCAAAGAATAGAAAGACTGCCACACAGGTGAACCACACAGTGCCATCGTATCTACTTAGTACCTGCTTGATGGAAACAAAGGCAGTCAGTCGGGTGAGCATCCAGCAATGATGTATAACTAACTAGTTAATCTGGTCTTACTGAGTAATCTTCATCAAATGATCATTCCTGATTTCCGGACAGAGTCACATACCTACTGAGTACTGTATGTGTAGCAGCGACCGACGTCAGAGTCTGGGGACTCCGCACGTGAGTCTCCGCCTCTCCGCAGGGTTGGTTGGCCCGAGGTCTTCACATGCGCGCAACTCCGCCATTAGCTTCAACGAGTACCAAGAATGTGACCTGTTGCCTGAGTTGTCTCTGACTCCTTCTTCCACTTCCACATCACAGCTCCTTCGCATCTTCACCAGCTTACCCCACGTTGCAACACAGCACTTTCTCTCGACCCTCATGGCCCTCAGTGTCCGAACCTGAGGGCGACAACTGCTGCACCGGCAGCCTGCGATCGTGGCAATCATACACCACCTCTCGGGGTCCCGCGGCCTGTCAATGAGACGGAGAAATGGCCGCTCAATCGACGCTCCAGCATCGGGAGGATCCTCTCGTGGTATTGTACCACTACTATGTCAACCTCACTCGTGCCCGGATAAAGCGCTCTTCGAAAGCGGCCAAAACCGTCGCCACTATCGCTTTAATCCTCTCGATCTTGGGAACTGGATACGGAGGCTATAAATGGTTTCGCGAGAGGTCGCAGGAGCATGCACAGGGCAGGCGGTTACTACGCCGGAACTCTGGGATCAGAGGGAAGGATGGAACCCGGACCATATACGTACCCTACAAGGGATCCATGACCTCGAAGGTCAAGATCTACCCAACCAAACCCACGACGTTTGATGCGCACCGGCGACTGTTTCTAAACCCTCCTGCTGCCGCCCGCGTCGGGGACGGCGCGTCCAGTAACCAGACCCCACCGCCGATGACGAAGCCAGGCCTGAACCTCGCTTTCCTGCATCAGTTCCTCAGCCTGGGGAGCATCATGGTGCCCCGATGGAGCAGTAAGGAGACGGGTCTTCTGATGGGTCATGGCGTTTTCCTGCTCCTACGGACGTATCTCTCTCTCTTGATTGCACGCCTTGATGGCGAGATCGTGCGAGACCTGGTCGCCGGTAAGGGCCGGGCCTTTGCCTGGGGCATCGTGAAGTGGTGTGGCATTGGAACACTTGCATCATACACCAACGCCATGATCAAGTTCCTCCAGTCAAAAGTGTCTATCGCGTTCCGGACCCGCTTGACGCGGTACATCCATGATCTCTACCTTACCAACGACAATAACTACTACAAACTGATGAACCTGGACGGCAGCATCGGCCAAGGGGCGGACCAGTTCATCACGCAAGACCTCACCCAGTTCTGCACTGCAGCGGCATCGCTTTATTCCTCGATGGGCAAGCCGTTGGTAGACTTGTTCGTCTTCAATTACCAGCTGTATCGCTCCTTAGGACCGTTGGCTCTGACTGGAATCCTCACTGGGTATTTCAGTACGGCGGCAGTCCTTCGGAGACTCTCGCCTCCTTTCGGCAAATTGAAAGCGGTCGAAGGGAAGAAAGAGGGTGACTTCCGTAGCTTGCATTCCCGACTCCTCGCGAACGCGGAGGAGATCTCGTTCTATGGGGGCGCAGACATCGAACGCGTGTTTCTGGCAAGAAGCTTCAAAGACCTCCAGCGGTGGATGGAGGGGATTTACAGTCTGAAGATCCGGTACAACATGCTCGAAGATGTTATCCTGAAGTATGCTTGGTCTGCATTCGGTTATCTCGTTACGTCCCTGCCGATCTTCCTACCTGCGTGGGGCGGATCGGGCGGCGCCCTGGAGTTGCTCGATTTACCGGAAGGCACCGGTCGTGAGCGCGACCGCATGAGAGAGTTCATCACGAACAAACGCTTGATGCTGTCATTAGCGGACGCGGGCGGCCGTATGATGTATAGCATCAAGGACATTTCGGAACTGGCCGGGTACACATCCAGAGTCTACAGCCTCATCTCCACCCTCCACAGGGTTCACGCAAATGCATACTACCCTCCGCGGGACTCTGGTGCGGAACTATACTCCTTGGCCGACGTTCAGGGAACCGTCCACAATGGTTTCGATGGCGTGCGCCTCGAGCAGGTTCCTATCGTTGCCCCATCCCTCTATCCCCGCGGCGGTGACGAGCTTCTGGAGTCGCTGTCGTTTGTCGTGCACTCTGGAGACCATCTCCTGATCTCTGGACCCAATGGCGCCGGCAAGTCCGCCATTGCGCGGGTTGCTGCCGGGGTGTGGCCGGTGTATCGTGGCTTGGTCAGTCGGCCACGGGGTTTCGGGCTCGATGGCATCATGTTCCTGCCTCAGCGGCCGTATCTTAGCGTTGGAACCCTGCGGGATCAAGTCATCTACCCCCACTCGGAGATCGACATGCGCGAGGCGGGAGTATCGGACGCTATGCTGCAAAAGGTTCTGGATGATGCCCACTTGGGCTACCTTCCCTCGCGGGAGGGCGGCTGGGACTCGCGGAAAGAGTGGAAGGATGTATTGAGCGGTGGAGAGAAACAGCGCATGGCCATGGCTCGCATCTACTACCACGAGCCGCGGTACGCGTTCCTTGACGAGGGGACCTCTGCGGTCTCGTCCGACGTGGAGGGTCTGCTGTATGATCGAGCAAAAGAGCGGGGGATCACGGTCATTACGATCTCCACGCGCGCGTCGTTGAAGAAGTACCACACCTATAGCTTGAACATCAGCATTGGCGCGGAGGGAGGACAGTGGGAGCTGGAGAGGATTGGCACCGCCAAGGAGAAGCTGGGAGTCGAGAAGGAGATCCAGGAGATCCGCAAGCGATTGGACAAGGTAGAGGAGTGGAAACGGCGGCGTGAGGAGATTGAGGAGGAGTTGCGCAAAGTCTGGGTGGAAGAGGGGGAACTTGCTCCTCCACCTTATGAGGCCGGCTCTGAAGCTATAGAAGCTCAGTGACAGGGTGTGACTTTTGCTTCATTTTACATTTGTGATGCGGTTGCAGCATGCTATATATTCACCACCAACAATCGCGTGGTTAGGGAAGCATCTCTATACCATGTCACATCACGTCACGTAAAGATTATGATCCTTTGAATAAGATAGCATCCAGCCTGAGTTTGGTCTCAGCTGTAAGCAATTCAATTAGAAGAGCCTGTCATTTTGCTAAGCTTTTTCTTTCCAGTTAATAGATCTCATTTTATTGCCCTGTGAGTCACATGACTGGCAGCCACGGCGATGCGATAGAATCCCAACAATAATGAATTTTTCTACCAATTTTCTAACAATTTCCAAAGCTTCTTTTCCCAGCGATTTTCGACGTTACCTGAATTATCACAGACCGGGCTCCTGTCTCTGAATTATTTTCAAAAAATAATCCCAACTCTTCTGGCTATTGGTGCCGACAAGAATGTCCAGTGGCTTCTTGGGACACCTGGTTTAAGGGTAGCGTAGCCAGGCCAGTTTGCGTCTGCATTTCCCGCGTCTCCCCCAAAGTCACTCTCCCAAAACCTTGCCAAAAACAGAGGCCGCAAGTTAGCGCTATCCCGCGCAGGGTAGACCTGCCTACCAAAATGGTTGACATCAAAATGGAAGGCGAAGATCCCGGGGCGATTGTCATCCCGATTGACTCGACATACAGCGATGGGGATCGCGCTGGCTGGCCGACGGGGGACCGATTCGACATGCCCGACGACAGCTACTATCGGCGCAAGATTGCGAAGCTGTGGGCGCAGAAGGCGGGCTTTTATGAACCTGGTAGGTTTGTACTTCAATGCCTTTGTGGTGAAATTTGGTTGCTTTTTTTTTTTTTTTGGTCTTGTTTCTAGTAGCTATGTATACCTAAGTATAGGCTTGGGTTTCAGTGATGCTTGCTTGCTTGCTTGTTTCCGTTCCGCCGTACAAGATGTCTCTCGTTTGCTGCTTGTCTCAAGTTCGGTGTAACGTCTTTTCCTTTGGGGTTTGCTTGATGGCTCTCTTTTTACACCAGAGTCTTTACTTGTATTCCAGAGTTGTCTGGCTGGGTTAATATCTCTTAGTTCTTGTTGTGAATTTCTCTATTTGGTGCATTGACTGTTCTATGTTCGACCTCATGCGCATGCACATGATGTGCACGATGGAAGTACCGTGATCCTGCACATCTTACTTTTATGTCCACGGCTGCCTCAGACAGATGCTGATATAGATACAGGAAAGGAATACATCCTGGATACTTTACCAGACGGATATGCGATCTTTGACAGACCGCGCGGAACAGATCCTGATATCGTGAGTTGCACGACCGGTATCTGTTGAGTGACTCTTCTAACAGTGAATAAAACCCAGCGAGATCGTTTCCTCTACGGCCATCCTATCCAACAATACTTCTACTCTACCGTCCAGTTCTTTCCGCATTTCTGCCACCTGATGAGCCGGGGCAAAGAGCCCTGCTCCTGCATTCTCTGCGAGAAGCTAGCTAAGCGCAAGAAAGGTACGTCCTGAAGATTTGGGATTGCTTCTTGGAAAACTACTGACGTGGTGCGTAGACGGCGTTCCGATCGGAAGAGGAGTTGGCCGGCCTCGTGGACGACCTCCAGGCTCGGGCACGCGCACGTCGTCCGGCACCAGCACCCCGATCAAGCCGGTAGGCACCCCCGGCAGACGCGGCCGACCCCCAGGCAGTGGCAGGAAACCCGGTCGACCTCCTGGCTCTGCTGTTGCTGCTGCTGCTGCTACTTCTGCTGCTGCTACTTCTGCTGCTGCTGTACGCTCCTCCGGACGACTCCCCGGCCGGCCCTCGGAATCCAGCATGTCATATATCGCCGACAGCGAGGGCACCCCGGACGTGTTCAAAGCCGCGGTCATCAAACTCCGCGCGAAGGGCCAGCTCGACGAAAAGATTACGGAGCCTGTCAGCATGGACTGGCGCGCCGAGCGCACGCCGCTCCGCGAATACCTGGAGAAGCTCAACATGCTCCCGTCGTTTGTGCCGCGCACGGGCGAGCTGGTGCTGTGGACGACGGAGTACGAGGGGAAGCTCGCGTGGAACCCGGAGGCGGGGCAGGTCCAGATCTACCGACACAAGGAATGGCACGGGGCTCCCGAATGGCGCGCGGGCGTCGTCGGCCAGCTCCCGGAGGAAGATGTGGTCTTGCAGGATATCGTCGTGACGACGCCGAAGAAATGGGGGCCGAACTACTCGGGCTTCCGGGTGGAGACGTTCCCGGACCCCAACAGCGAGGATAAGAGCTACTCCCTGCAGCACAAGTATGTGCCCATGAAGTGCATCCGGCCGTTCGGCGCGTACGAGCATTTCCTGCAGGGGGTGCCACGGGAGGAAATGCATCCGTCCATCGAGAATGCCCTGACCGTCATGGCTTCGTTCAGCGTGTTGGAGAAATACCGCTTTCGGGGCACGTGGCCTGATGCCGCGATCTACTGTCGTGGGATCTTTCTGGGGGCGGAATTCCTGGCGGTCGGCGACGCGGTGCGGCTCAAACCGTCGGGGTGCGATGCAGATACAGTCGGTCCTGCGACAGCACTCACTCCCAACGTGATGGTCATCCACGAGATCCGCCTCGAGCTGAAGAAGTGTGACGCCGACCCGCGATCCAGACAACTGGCTGAGACGTACCAGGTGCGCATCCAGGGCAAAGTGTACACGAACGACCGCGAGCGCGCCGCAGCACTCCTACAACGGAGCTCAAACTCCCCGCAACCCCCACCAAAGCCCCTCACCTCGGACGAGATCGCGAGCACCTTCCACTACGTCGGCATGAGCGGCTACGGCGAGTGGTACCCGCTCCACTCCGGCGCCCTAGTCAATGTCTCCCAAGACATGATCCTGGGCCGCTGCTACGAGCCCGACGCGATGCAGCTGCTATTCCGCTCGCCGGCGCTCCACTACGATCTGCACGGGGTGCTGCGCGGCCGGGCGTACTCGCGGGCGACCGACGAGCGCATCCGCCCCGGCAAGCGGTGGTTCTGGGGCGATTTCCGCACGCAGACGCTGGCACTCGACACGCTCAACGGCGAGGACGTGGGCCACTACAGCGACGTGCGCGACGTCAAGATGTGGCGGGCCAATTTAAGGGTGATCGACGGCACGGCCAGGGCGGCGGACTTCCGCGACGCGAAGATCCCCGGCGACGTCGGGCGGCCGTCGACCAAGACGGCGTCGAACTTCGCGAAGGTCGGCAAGCTCAGTAAGCTGGTGAGCACGGGGTTGGGGGCGGTGGACGGCAGTGCGCCGGCGAGTTCGGCAGAGGATGGCGATGGCGATGGCGATAGCGATGGTGCTGTCTCTGGCGGGGAGAGTGAGTCCGAGGAGGAAGAGTATACGCTACGGATCGATCAGTTGCGGGGTGGGACTGAGGAGACTGAAGGAGGGGACTACGTTCCAGGACCGGGCACCACCGAGCAGGAACCGCAGAACAAACGAGCGCGCATGATGGAAATGATGTAGTGTAGCTTAGCTTCAGATATTTACTGCCTGCATCTGACCCAACACAAATAACTCCCAACCCCAAACCCCCCTATCCATAATATCCATAATAAAACCCCCCTAATAAGTCCGCGCCACCACCCCCCGCGCAAAATCCGCAAAAGAAACCCCCGGCTGCACCTCCTCCTCCAAATTCGGCTGCGTGAACACCGCCAACGTATTCCTGGCGATGCTCCGGCCCTCCAACCCTTTCCTGGCGCCCTTCACAAAATGCGGCACCGCGCGGAACTGGCCCCTGGTAATCAACTGCAGCGCCTCGCCCGTCTGAAACGCCAAACAATCCCGGGGGATATTGACCTTGACGATCTGGCCGGTGCGGGACTTGATATACAGTCCGGCGGAGGGATCAGGCGACGCGGCCAGCTCCTCCAGCGGGTTTTGAGGGGCTGCAAGGTCCTGGTCGGCCTCATCCACAAACATCGCCGACGTCAACCCCGTCAAACAGCTGTGATCGAGGTGCGTGGCGCACCAGTCATCATCATCATCATCCCCCTCATCCTGGACACCGGGCTGGGTCGGGAAGTAGTGCAACAACCGCGCCTTGGTCGTCAAACTGCCCCGCACCACCTTCTCCAGATACCCAGGCACATAGCCGTCGACGTTCTCGGCCGCGAAGCGGTCGCACGCCCGCGCCACCAGCGCCGCCGTGTCGATGATCATGCTGCACAGCTCGCGGACGCTGGGCTCGAAGCTGGGCAGCCGCGCGCCCGCGGGCCAGATGTTCGGCGCCGTGTACTCCGGTAGGTCCGGGTGGTCGGCGGCGGGCGCCCCCTGCAGGTCCGCCGACTGGTGGAAGGCGCAGTTGAGGTAGTAGCTGCCCTTGTGGGTGTCGTGGACCCCCGGGCGCAGGGTCTCCTTGCCGTGCGACCAGCCCACGAGGTATTTGGCCGGGGCGCACGTCAGGGCTTCGAGTTCGTCCGCCGGGAGCGCGGCGAGGTACGAGGCGTTCGAGAGGACTTGGGCGCGCAGGTGGGCGAAGTTTTCCGGGAGGTCTTTGACGATGATGATCCCCAGGGAGGAGGGGCCGAAGGCTTCGGTTAGCGTGGGGAAGGTTATGGTTCCTTTTCTTGTGGTCAGTTTTGGGGTTGTTCTTCTTGGGGTGGGGGGTTCGGGATACTGAGGGGATATCGAGGGGATATCGAGGGGATATTGAGGGGACATTGAGGGGGAATGTATGGATGCTGATATGCTAGTGTGCAGAGTAAGGTCGAGCTTACCATCGATCAACTCCTTCAGGCTCACGGTCACGGCCTGGCCTTGCGGAATGTTTTCTAGAGTCATGCTGATGCAGTATATTCGGTGATGCCACAAAGACCTGACTGCTGGGAATGAAAGAAAAGACAAAGAAACAACAAAAAAAAAAGAGATGATTCCCAGAGATAAATTCTTCCCCAGACAAAATTTGGCTCGGCCCGCTCCGATGCCCGCTTATCAACGGCTTATCGGCTGTCAGCCCAGTATTTGCCGAGGAAGATACGTCCGCCGTAGATATACTGTTTGGCATGGGATGGACGGAGATCTGGCGATAGGAGAAATCGGGATTATGTGGTATCTATGGTACAGTTCGTGGTAATGTACAATGCAGTGATGTGGCTGATGAACACCCTCTAAATCTTCTCCACCTCCTCCTCGCCAACCTTCTCTGTCTTCTCAGACCGACGAGTGACCTGCCGCAGATTGCCAAACGGAAGCACATCACTGATCTTCTTGGCCCCCGTGAACAACATGCACAGCCGATCAATCCCGCACCCCCAGCCTCCGGTCGACGGCAATCCCCATTCCAGCGCCTCCAGGTAGCTCTCGTCGATCTCCTCGGTCTCGTTGGCCTCCTTGCTGAACCGCACCTGGTCCTCGAACTTGCGCCGTTGCTCGAAGGGAGAGTTCTCCTCCTCGTACGTGTTGACCACCTCCCGGCCCTCGATGAACAGCTCGGCGCGCGCGGCAACGCGCTGGCCTGTCGTCGGGTCGATGAAAGACTTGGACAACGGAGACAGACATTCGGGCGGATTGATGATGAAGGTGGGGTCGATGCACTGCGGCTCGACATATCTGCTGCAGAGCTCGTCCAGGAGACGCGGAAGGGTTGGACTGGAGGGTTCAGGTAGGGAGAGGTCGCGATACAGTTCCTTGACCTGCGTTAGGGCGTCTGGGGCAGTAAGCTCAGGCAGTTTGCGGCCGATGGCCTCCTCGATTCCGGTGATGAAGTCGATGCGACGGAATGGCGCAGTAAAGTTCGCCTCGGTGGGGGTGAACGTGTTATTGGCGTTCACCTCCTCGATACGGGTCGACAAGCCCGAGAGAAGCTTCTCCGTAATCGAGATCAGCTCTTCCAGGTTGGCATAGGCGTGATAGAATTCACAAGTAGTAAACTCCGGGTTGTGTGTCTTGTCCAGCCCTAGATTTCCGCTGTCAGCACACTCGTCCACTTCGTGGTCCGCGCGAACATCCCTACCTTCGTTGCGGAACGAGGGCCCAATCTCAAACACTCGATCAAACCCTCCAACGACCAACCGCTTCAACCACAGTTCCGGCGCGATGCGCAGAGACAGCTGCCGGTCGGGGAACTCGGTGGCAGATGTATGGAAGGGGCGTGCAATTGCACCCCCTGCTACTGCCTCGAGAATCGGGGTGTTGACTTCCATAAAGTCTCGGTCGACGAAAAACTGGCGGACATATTGAATGATAGCCGAGCGGGCGCGGATGATGTCTGCCGTTCGCTGATCTGCCAGAAACTGAACATGACGAGGATATGGGGAGGTCTCGTGCTTATGGGCGTCCAACGGCACATCGTGCAGACAAGGCGAAAGGAGCTGAGGCAGTTGAGTCGCCAAGATGGTGAGCTCGCCTCGTCCGGTGCGGTGAGGCCTACCGGTTACGGCTGGGGGAGAACGTGAAGGTTCAGTCGACGACCGACGGAAATACAAAGGGTGTACTGGTAGATGGAACATACAGAAGGCATCACCACGGCGAAGCAGCCGCGAGAAATCTCGGAAGTGTTCGGGAGTCACCCCTTCCAACTGACGGATATTGCACATCACCTGCACTTTATGGCCATTTTGCGACATGTCGAAGAAGATCAACTTGTTGCCAGCCAGTCTAGAGGTACGTATCCTACCTACTGATCTAAGTACGGGGACAACATGTGGTAGAGCGCCAGCTGAGGCAGAGACCTACCATGGACAACAACCGTGTCTCCTTCTACTTCATTATAATCTAGGTGGTAGTAGCGGTCACGGAATTCCGCAGTGCTCATGGAGTTTTCATTGCTCTCAAGCCGAGGATATGCCTCGGAAAGTGTCTTTTGGACCTCCTGCAGACGCTCCTTGTAAACTCTTTCCGGGGAGGCTGCGCTGCTGCTATGCCTTGACGCATTGGCAGCAGTGAGGCGCTGATTTACTCGAGTAAACTGGCCACTGGGCTGCAGAATCTGTGTACGGGTTGAGATGGGTACTCCTGTGCTGAAGATTTCGTATTAGCAGTTGCACTTGACGATTGAATGCAAGCGTGCCAGAGAAGAAGGTATTAGAATCAGATGACATTAGTCTTCCAGTTACGCTCATTACGTGGAGGTTTCCCTCCAGGCATTCGGTGCAGCGGTTCTGAAAAATGGAAGGGTATGTCTCATCATAAAAAAACCAGTTGCAAGGCAGTGGTAGTGCCGCTTGAGATAACTCACCTAGACAGAAGCCTTCCGGCTCTCAGCCGTGACGCCCACTGCGGGCGAATTGATTGCATTGAGAAAGAAGAATGACAAGGACTGAGTGCTCACATCATTTGCAGCGATGACGGGAAAAAGAAAACTAGAGCAGGTTGTGTGCGGAAGAGAGGCAGGGGAAAAAGGCCAGCCGACAGAAAATCCTGAGGCGGTGAGAGGAAGCAAGCCCGCTCGCTCCGACTTTCCTTCCGCTCCCGGAGCTTCAAACAAGCAGAGCGAGAGACTTGAGTTCTATCTATACAACTCTTAACCTTCTGTTCGACTTCAAATGTGAGCGCCACGCTTCCCAAAGCTTCTCCATCAATTGCCGACTTGCTAATCTATAGCTCTAGCTCACCCCACCTCTCACACACCCCCCACCATCACAATGTCTTTCCTCTTTGGCGGTGCCCCCAAGATGTCCTCGGAGCAGAAGATTGCTGCCGCTGAGACCGAGGTGGAGATGATTTCCGACATGTTCAACCGGTGAGTCGACATCTGCGTGAAGCTGCCCTTCTGACCCTCGATGACCGCCCTCCCTACACCATCTGTATCGGCAGGAAACTGACCACCGATAAACAACTAGCCTGACCGAGTCCTGCACCAAGAAGTGCATCCCCAACGACTACCGCGAAGGCGACCTCAACAAGGGCGAGTCCGTCTGCCTCGACCGCTGCGTGTCCAAGTTCTTCGAGGTCAACATCAAGGTCAGCGAGAAGATGCAGGGTGAGGCCGCCAACAGACAGGGTGGCATGGGCATGGGCATGTAAAATGTTGATTGAAATACTCTGGGGCTCAAAACTGTTTCCATTTATGTACTTGTATAATTGATTGGGTCTTCTTTTTTTCCGGGGAAAGTGGTGCGTGCATGTCTTCAGGATTTCTTGCGCTACATTTACCCGTGATGACATATGGTTCTAGCATTTTGGATGACATTGTCTCTCACGCATGGAAAGTGGTTGAATGGTTTATGGGATAAGATAGCATTGAGCATTGGGAATGAATTCTATCCTGGATGTGAAGGTTCTGTCTTTATTGCTCGTGTCCAGGTAGAGCTATTGCATTAAAGGACTCGGGAAGCATGAAGATATTCCCATCGAGCATGACATAAGATGTGGCTGAGATGCTGAGCTGTGGCTGGTGGCTGCTTTGACTGGACCACTCAAGTTGACCTGCCCAGTAGGCAGCTGCGTTCTATGCACCGTTAGTGGCGTTCATTGTTCTAGAAGCCAGTCCTGAAAAGGCAATACGAAGTTCTTCAGACTACTACTCCTAAACCATGTTCAAGGATGATCTGGTTCTTATTGAGTCGAGTTGATAATTGTCCTCGATAAAACCCTCGGCTCACCGCTCCCTGATAAGTTGCAACGGAAATCCCCTTGTGACGTCGTCGGCTGCAATGCCCGGCAACCAAGAGGAAACGCACCGCACCGCACCGCACCGCAACGCAACAACCACCCGCTTCACGGCCAACAACGCCTGTGCTTTTCTCCCTTCACCCTCGCCAAATATATCCTCACGGGATGACATGGACTGACGGCTGCTAGCTTGGCACCTCACGTTGAAGCTTGAGGCTCCATCAGCGCCCCCATCCCTTCCCCCCTCATCCTGTTCGAAGTTTCTCGGATATGTCAATGGCACTTGCTTTCTTTACCGCCGGTCCAATCGAGAGAACACCCCTGGAGGGTTAACTATTCTGTGTCGCGTTCTTCTTTCTACTCTTACAACGTGCGAGCTCTAGTTCCCTGGCTGGTTCTAACGCTCGTCTCCTCGCTACCCTCCTCGCCCAGAAATCGAGGCTGTACTCATCCCTTATGTGTTAGGGAAGCTGGTACCGTTTCCTACGCCATGCCACCATCATCGCCTACGCAGACTGGTGGGCCTGCCACACCTGCTGCGATAGCAACACGAGAGCCGACCAAAACAGTACCGAAAGAGAGTCCGCTCGTGCAAACGAACGGCCCCGACGGACAGTCGTCGCCGCCCCCACGGCCGGGCCACCAGAAACTCGTCTTCACCGACCCGGTTGCCTTCCGCTACCTGGAGGAGGATCCGGCGACCATAGTTTTACACCGGCGAATGACTCTGGATGGGTACGAGGTCTACATTGTTGAGCAATGGGCGTGCACGCGGATTCATCCAACTTTCATCATCACGACCTACACGGGAGATCCGTCGCACAAAGTCGCCGTCGGGGTGCTAAGCGTCCCGACGGATGAGTCGACGTGGTCGCCCCGTCTGCGGCTGTACTTCAACGCTGTGGTACAATGCCAGGCACAGAAGCGAGACACTCCCCTGGGGACGCTGATGGTCACCGATCTCAGCATCTTTCCGTGCGCCCTGGCACTCATACCCGTCCCGGACGGCGATGTCCTCAAACACAAGGACGATTTCATAGTCAATGAAAACCTTAAGAGGTTAGGTTGCTCGGGCCGTGCCAGCTTGAAGCTGCAACCCCCGTCGCCTGCTACCGAAGCCAAATTCCACCAACTCTACCGCACCAGCGAGAGAGTGCCCCTCTATAGTGCTGTGGTCGAGCTGGTGAAACAGTGCCAGATCGCCCTGATGATGTTCGGCAACCTGGCGCCGGAGTATGTAGACGGTCTGCTCTGTGATATGACCGAGGCAGCCATAGCCGATTGGTGGACCGAGATTGGGATGGACTTGTACAACATCGAACCCAGCGACAGTATGCTGGGCCCCATCTCGGTCTCGGCTCTTCTCGGAACTCTGATCGGGGCCCGGAATCGGCTGCATGCGTTCGGTGCCCCCGTTGGCAAGGACGCATTCGATATCCCGAACCTCAAACGAGGGATCGGGAGCTTCCAGAAATCACAGAAGATGAAACGGACCAGACGGCTGGACCGCCAGACCCTGGACCGACTGCATCGAGTCACTGCGAAAGCTGCGAATGCCGAGGGCTGGACCGACGCGGTGAAGTCAACGGTGGCCGAGCTGAGCGGGCATGGCGGTGAAATGGTGATGGGGATGGTTAGGGGTCGCGAAAAGGGCGGTATCGCCGATATCGAGACTCTGGACATTGACACCTTTGCGCGGCTGGTCAAAGGCGAGAGGGCAAAGTGGCTGTGGAGGGGCAAACCACGCAAGGGTGCCATCGGCGAGTCGTTCGGTGGCGGCCCGGCGGCAGCGGACATGCTTTTCACCAACGACGAGCAAGGCGGCTATCTTTGGACGACGCGGAAGAGACATTCTCAAGAGGACTTGACGGTGGATCGACTGCCACCGGAGGCAGATCGCCCACGGAAACCTTCTGAATCAGCCGCCACCTTCGACGAGAAGGATCAGAACCTGAGTAGTATCGTGCGGAGAGGCGTGAGTGGAAAGGTGTCAGACGCGCGAGCGGGATTTGGCAGATTCAAAGATGCGGTGGGCCTGCGATCACATCCGTCGAAGCATTCCCGGGAGGGGCAATATGGTTATGGCGATTCGTCTCACTTGCCTCCGATTGACAGTGACACCGAACCAAATCAAGCGAGAAAGCCCGATGACGGTGATCCGAACACTGCAGAGCAAGGAAGCATTCATGAGTCCGAGGGCCGAGCTCTCAACGAGGATGCCGCGGCTGCCGAGTCTGTACCAAGCGTTGTGCCCCCACAATCACCCGAAGCAAAGACACCCGCAATCACGGTGGAGGCCGTTCCGGACACTGCCGACTCGGAGTCTGCTCGCAAGGTCCCGGTCTTCCAGCCGCCCTTCGAGGAAGAAGTGCCCGACGAAGAGTCCCGCCGGAGGACCCCTTCGACCGACATCTCCGCCGATCGAGAGCGGACGCCCGACATTGGGATCATGTTGCTGCGCCGGCCGCGGAGTTGCGTCCAGCTGCCAGGCTCGGAGGAGCAGTCGATGCCCGAACTGACCGACGGCCACTGGCCACGGCATCTGTCCTTCAGCACCGTGGAGGAGGTGGTGCTCGGCTGGGATGGGATCGGCGGCAGCATCCAGGAGCGGCCCGACGCCACCCTGGAGGAGGCGATCCTCCACGAGGACGTCCTCGCCTCGGACGCCCGCCTCTTCAGCGCCCAGATCCGCGAGCTGAGCGAGCAGACCGCCCCCTGGGTCGAGCAGCAGGTGACCTCGGTCGACGACCTCAACCGCTGCTTGCACGAGAGCTACGAGAAGATCAACGCCGCCTACCTGGAGCGGCTCGCGGTCTTCCAGCAGCTGCGCGGCAAGTCCACCGACCTGCTGTCCGAGGAGCACACCCACCTCACCGACTACATGCGGCGGGTCGAGCTGATGGGCGCGAAGCTGGACTACGAGCTGCACGTCCTGGAGTCCAAGGTCGAGGACGTCGAGGCCGGGCTCGGGGAGTTCGAACGCCATGTCGCCGACGTGGAGACGAGGGTCCGGTTGCTGGTGCGCGGGGAGAAGGAGAAGGATAGGGAGAGCAGCAGCAACAGCAGCAACAGCAGCAGCAGCAACGGTGGCTCCTGGCTGTCCTGGCTGGGCAAGTTGGCTGGTCTGTAGGGTTGACTTGCGTTGAGTTTGAGTCCAAGTCGCCCGGGACGAAAGAGAATCGTGTGCGCTTCCGTGTGTAAGAAAGTATATTTGCTATCTCTGTTCCAGCACTTCGAGTTGTATACCCCCTGTTCAGTATAGACAAGAAAGAGAATGTAATAAAACGAAACGCAGACGCTAGTATATACCACATTTGTTTTGTGTTCCAGGGATGTGCCTAACCCCCGGCGGGAATTTTGTTTTACCCTGCGCGATGGGTTATAGTAAGGACGGCTCGGCAACATCTAACTACTGTCCATTACGAGTTCTTGGTTCAAAACCAAGCACATTAAACAGTAACGTCATTCTATAACCGGCATTGTCCTGCCGAAATCTAACCGTGCCTGGAAACTCCAGGCCAGCGAAGTTTGATTATTTGCGAGCGGTTGAGGCGGTCGGTCGAAAACCGAGGCTCTCATAGTCTAGGTGTTAGTCTATGTATATAACCGATTCTAGTTACCTGGGAGCGGACCACCCCAACCACCGGTCTCTGGGCTTGCCTGCTCTCTACAACTGACAACAACAACAACAAATCAGATTTCCAGGGCTATCCATTCAGGCTCGTGCATGCGGCTAGATTATCTCGGAAAGAGCTCAAGGGTTTTGGAGCTTGTCTTCGGATTGAAATCATTTTGATCTTTAAAATAGAATAATAGGAAATATGTACACCTACTCCATTCACTCCAGCCCCTGCGCTACGCTTCTGTAAAAAGAAAAACCCCGACTATCCAGCCCGACCCAAGTCCCGATAACGCCGGAAACAGGAAAATGAAAGAATAATAGAAAGACATATAAACAAAAAACAATGTACGTACTGAGTTCTGACCCTGGACGCCCGCTGATTACATGGTAAGGAGGAGGAGGTAGTGTATGTACTTACTTGTAGCCTTGCTTTGACGATGACGCAAAAAGGGTAAGAAAACGACCTAAAGGAACACCTTTCTGGCCTCGCGGGGGTGGCTCTCGCTGGGGCAGTAGGGGCATTTGAACCGGCTGCCCTTGCACAATCGTTTGAGGGATTCCTCGGCAATGACGTGCCCGCAGGGCATCATCATGGGTGGGTTCTCGTCGGTGGTCTGTTCCTTGGAGACGGGACAGACGAAGATGGAGTGGAAGAGGTAGGATGGCGGGAGGGGGATTTCGACCTGCAGGGCGTGAGTATCATTAGAATTCTAGCGGTATGCGGGGATTTTTATTTTCATGGGGCAGTCTTACGGGTAGCTCGTTCTCGGTGGTCCACTCGGTGCGTTTGGCTTTCATGATGGTCTGGAGTTTCAATAGCGTTGGAAGGGCGATTGCGCCGGCGGTGGCGGCGATGTATAGAGGCGAGTCCGCGGAGAGGCCGAGCAGCGAGCAGAACTCGCGCGTGAACGAGTGTGCTACGTCGGACCAGGCCGAGGGGTTGTTGAAGATGCTCCGGTAGGGCGAATCCTGCAGGTTGGGGCTGAAGGCCATCGCGCCCATGAGCTGCTGCACCTCGCGCAGGTATCGGGGCAGGAAGCCGTGGAACTCGCGGCGGGCGTATTCCAGAGCCGCCTGTCGTCCGGCGGGGGTGGGACCCTGCTGCTCGTGGGCCCCGTGGAAGAGCCAGACAAACTGCAGCCGGCAGAGCTCGAACTCGAGGTTGCTCCCCCGCGCCGCCAGCGCCTCGTCATTGTCCCGGGCCCATTGTATGGCGGGGAGCAGGTTGTTGTTCTCTTTCATCTCGTGGAGGATGTAGTACATCGTGGCGAACTGTTTGCGCACCTCGCCGGATGGAACCTCGTCGATGTCGAGGATGGATGCGGCATTCTCGGTGGCGTTCGCCGTGTTGGCTTGCTTTTTCTCCGCCGCCTTCTTTTCCGCCATCTCGGAGAGGAAGGTGGCCGCCACCGAGAACTGCCCCTCCCTCAGCAGATGCATCGCGATGGCCCGGTTGATGAGGTGTTCCTGGGAGGAGAGGAGGTCATGTTCGGTGCTCGGGAGGGGTCTGTCTTTGAAGAGCTAGGAGGACTGTCAGCCAACATCCAGGCGGGGTTTAAAGATCGGACGAATCCGGGCTCCGTGCTACCTTATCCAAGGACTTCGAGTATTTGTTGAGACCGCTATGGGTTTCTTTGAGATTGTCATTGATGGAATCGAAGGAGGCTTTGACCGGATTCTGTAGCTTGGCGAGGATGATTGATGCTTGACTCGGATCTGGTTGCGATCTCCTTGTCAGTATAGTTCGGTGACTGCGGGGTGGTAGGCCCGAGGCGAGAACCAACCTGCAGCAATGGCGTCCCGCGCGTTTTGCAGTAGATCTATCGAGTTTTGTACTGACTTGAGGCCTTGAGCGGCCTTGGTCTTCTTTACGAGCCTCTCATGTTCTTTTTGCACGAGCTCCATGGTGAGGGGGACAGGCTGGAGGCGTATGAAAGCGGTGTCCGAGAGTTACCGCTCTTTGAGGGCGGAGCTGGCAATAGCCATAGATTGGGGGTTCCCAAGACAGGCGTTTGCTTACTGGGGTCTCTGGCAATCGATAAACAAAAGCTTTCAGATTGCGGAGACAGCTGTAATAGTCAGGAAAGTAGAAGAGAAACAGGAAAAGATCGAGAGATGTGGAGGGGGTCACAATGCATGGGCAGGTGAGTGTTCGGAGCAGGTGAGCAGGTGAGCAAAGCAACTCACTCGCTCTCCGTGGTAATACGACACTGTGCTGTCGCAGCTAATTACGACATGTCACGTCACGTGCTGTCGGGTTATCGCCGATACCTGCCGGACAGTCCCTTCAGTGTGAGGGGGTAAGCGCTGTGCAATAATCTACAGTACTCCGTCTCTTCCCTCATCCTTCTCATGCGGAGTGTCACCTCAATTGGCGCAGTCTGTAGGTGCCCGACACATTTCCCAAAAGCACTTAGGCCTTGGTTAATTGGAGGCTAAGCCTGACCACACTGACAATAATTGCCCATGGACTGGACCAGTTAGGTCGAGTTTCAGAAAGTCATGGGAGTCAATGGCTGGATTCTCAAGATGGGAAGGATGGTCGGGACACCCTCCCCTCCGATCTTCCGCTCAACTCGTAGCCTGCCAGTGTGTGCCAACGGCTTCTTTTCCAGGCATGAACAGTAAAAAGCCTGAGGCCTGAGGCCAAATACTGAGGACACGGCAAGGGCCACCATAGACAGCCAATCAGAGCTCAGGACACGTCTCGCTTCTGCCTAGCGCGGTGAGTCAGGCTTGGCGGGGGTATATAAGCTTCCCGCTGTCGCCCAACTTTTAGGATCTTTTTTTCTTTTCTCCTCCATCCTGGTGCACGGGTTTTACACGTGTCAGTGAGGAGACATCCGAGACCGTGTTTTTGCTAGTTGAAAACTACTTTTTTGACCGCTCTGACTGGCCTTCGGGTCGGTCAGGAATTTTTGAAAAAAAACTGCTGTGAGCCCTGTTTATGTTCTGGGCTCAGTTAGAGTACGTAGATGGCTGTATGCTCGCTGTTGTCTCCCCGTGCGAGGCTTGACTTCCATGGTCTGTACTCGTCAATCGGTCTTCTTTTCACTGCTGTTTGCTTCCCCAGTTGGAAGCCTGTAGAGAAGAGAGAAGATGAAGTGTTAATGTTGAAGTTGTCATTGTGCAACTACTACCTTCATGATAGCTAGCTGTACTCCCTATATATACTCCCTACTCCCTAGCTGGATATGTAGTGTCGACGATTCTCGGGATATGAACCTGTCAAATGAGTGCTTCTCTGTCTGCGTGAACCTGCCTGGCCATAATGCTGTCATCGTACTCCGTAGCTGGTGCTGTAACTTCGGCTCTATGCATGTTTGATGAGATGCACCCACTGGTCATTTTCGACCTGTCTGTCACCAGCAGGAAAAGGCCGAAATGATAGATCGCGAGATGCCGGCAAGCAGCGGACAGGTGCGGACGGTGTTGTGGTGGTGATTTGCTGGTTTGGTGGCAGACCCTCCAGGTCCACACCCCCTTTCCGCCTCTTCGGCCTCAATCATTGGGCAATGGCTTCACCCGTGACTGCGCGATCTTTTGGCGATGGAACCTCAACCACTTTACGCGTGCATTACCGGATCTTACGCGTGTGCTGCATGCCCCTCCACCATCCATGCTGCCTTCAGCTGCTGCATCCAAAAGCCTATCGAGTCCCTGTCATCCCAGCCTGCAGCAGACTACTTCTACAAGGATGTCGAGTCTAGATGGTTTCTCTTTGTTCGGTGTTGCCAATGGGAAACACCCCCCGTGAGGATCCGTGGGGGGGGGGGGGGGGGGGGGGGGGAGAGACTCCTTTTCCCCCCTGGGACTTGGGACTTCTGCCACTAACTACTCAAGGAAAGACAATACTTACATACAGGTTTCCATTTCACTCATCGTTTCATTGACTTCCAAGGAAGTCCATCACCTTGGGAGATTCCTACCCTTCATTCCCTCATCGAGCGCAAGACTGTTTTCTTCTCTTTCTCTGACTCCCTATCCCCCTCACTTTTCGCCAACCCCTAATTCACAAACATGTTAGCTCTACAGCAACAGCAACAACAACGAAGCAGGAGTAGTAGTGGTAGTCCTAGAAATATCTCCACCAGACGACAGCAAGCTCACCCCGAGGCCTTTTCCTCACGATATGGAGCCGGGAAATCCAGCACACGCGTCCTGAGAACACGATCTCGCGAACGACAATCGAGTACCTCCCGCCGTCTACTACAACAACAACATCGTCGGCGGGAGCCCCCTGATAGCCCCCCAGATGGCAGGTCTGTTTCCCCCCATGATACAGTCGCTTTCACGATTTCACCCAGCTAAACCGCAGTGCTATAGCTCCCTCACCCCGGCGACAGTCACCCTCTGCGTAGGACCCGAGAAGCGTCTCTTCGCCGCTCACAGGGACATCATCTGCGTCTCCCCTTATTTCGCCGCCGTGTGCGCCCGTGCCCGTGCTGCCTCCACGGATCCGAACAACACCTCCAACAATCCCATCTATCTCCCCGACGAGCAGCCCGAGATCCTGTCCTGCATCCTCGAATACCTCTACCGAGGCGACTACTTCCCGCGACTCCTGCACAACAAAACCCGAAACACCTGGCAGCTGGAGACGGCCTCTTCAACGACAGGGAGTAGCGATGCTGAACCAGATGGCGCAACCATCTTCCATCCGGGAGTAGGCGCGGAGATCCTGAGAGATACAGCTGTATAGTAAGTGTTCCCCTGCTTCGCCTATGTGTTTTGTAACCCAGTATCTCCTCTTTCGATCGTCCCAATATCCATGTCCACATGTACCGTACAGAATCTAAAACCCACCCACCCACCTCCCGTCCTAAATATCAAACCCCCCAAATTCAACCTCCAGTACCTCCCCAAAACCCATGCGTATCCCCAAGAACCCCCGGCTCCCTAACCTCCCCACGAACCACCAACCTAAACCCCACCAAACTAACCCCCCGGGTTTGAATGAAACACAGCTGCGCGGCCCAAAAATACGGCCTGGAGACCCTGAAACGCCTCGCCCTCCGCAAGCAAGGGCTGCACTCGGGCATCTCATGCAGCACCATCCTGACGAGCGCGCGCTACGCCTACGCGCACACGCCGGACACCGAGTCCAAGCTGCGGGCCCACTACCTCGCCCTCATCATCCGGAGCCGGTCGACCTTCAAGCGCAGCGGCACCATGCAGATGGAGATGGAGCAAGGCGGGAAGCTGTTCTTCGATCTGTTCGTCGCTATGTGTAATCATATGGTGAGAACTTCCCCCTCTCCTATACGTTCCCATTCGCGGTAAAGTAGGAAGTAGTCGGTGGGATTTTTGGGGACATCTGGTTTGTGGAATGCTGACTTCTCACTTCTTGTGTTTGGGGGACAGGATGATTTGACGGGTGCGTCGGGGAAACAGCAGCAGTCTATGGCGAGTACGATTACGTAGGCTCGGAGTGTATGTGTTATGACTCGGGAGTGAGGTGGCACTATAGATGAGGACGGGGTAGATGTCGCCCCCCGGCCCACCACCACCTTCCCTGCTGGTTTTTCGGGGCGGAGAATTGGGTGGGCTCTGGGTCTTCGGGCATGTGGACTGTATTAAGCTTGGCAAGCTTTGTATAATGTGTGTGTATACCTCATTGACTGTACTTTGGAATGTATGTATTTGTTAAACAGTTATTTTAAACAGTTGATCGATGCAATTGCTGGATATCTCGGTTTTTTCTGCAAACAAGGTATGTATGTATACAACGGGGTATTTCCGTCGCTAATCTGCATAACTCCAGTGTCTAAAGTCTCTTGTCGCATAAAGTCAAGTGTCATGGTGCGCGCTGATCAAGATAGCCCCGTACCCTTGAGCGTCGCCATCACCTGGTGGGTAGAGCAATCTTCCGATGATGATCTCGATCAAATGCTCGTGTGCCGATTCCTGCTGGTCTCATGCCAGGTCGAGTGAGGTGTGATCAGCCCGGAAACCAGGCTGGGGGGTTTTGCGTGACCAACTAATGGCCAGTGGTTGCCGGGTCCGATGCGCCTAAATACGGCTGCTGATGACGTTGAGATCGAGGTATCACTCAATTCATGGTCAAGAGTCTCATATCGAGAAAGGTAAAATAAAAGAGGCTCAATTTAGACGCCCGTTCCCGGAAATGCGGACCCGCCCTTGCTCAACACGACCATACCACGTTCGCGCGCGATATATCCCTTCATGAGACCCTAAGGGGCAAGTCAGTTTCATCGAGCCAGGCGTACTGCAAGTCAACTATTGGGGGCGAAACTAACCTTGTATATCAAGTTCGACAGCAGACACTCCACCTCGTCGATATCCACCCGGGACCTCTCGTCTGCATGTGTGCCAATGCGGACCGCAGCTGCGAACTCGGCGACAGGTACGCGGGTCCGGCGAATCGGAGGTTGGCCGTCCTTGGACTCCTCAAACCCTCCGGCGATAAACACCTTCCGGAAGAGGTTCCGCAAGGCGATGTCGCGTCCCCTCTCCAGAGGTAGGTAGATACGTCGTTTGACGAACTCTTCCTCGCCAGCGGACATCGCCGCATCGAAGCCTCCCAGATCGCCTTTCTTGATACAATTGCATAGAGGACGGTAGAGCTTCTCAAGGCGGGGGAAGGGCGCCAGGAGCTTTTTGCTGGGTAGCGTGTGTGTCGTAACCAAGTGGCAAGGGATGAGGTAGGTGAGGATGAGTCTGAATACACATTAGTACGGACACCCAGGCAAAGGAGAAGCATACTCACTCCCGATTCTTCATTGCGCTGCGATGGCACATCCTCCAGGCCTCCGCCAAATGCTGCTCAGCCTGCCAGGCGTCAGTCTGGGTTGATCAAGTACAGATGTAGGCGCACGTACCTCGGCGTAGTTCTCATCGAGGAAGTGAATGACGCCAACGTAGTATTTGAAGGTGACAATGTGGGACTTGGGGAAGGCGTCTAGTTCGGGGAGGTCGGCGGATTGCGCATTCAGAGCACGCAGTAAGTTCTTGGACAGGCCAACGGTGTTGAGTTTGAAATAGGTCTTGAACAGGAGGTTGGTCGTGTCGTAGACCCCCCACTTCCGGGATTCCTCGATCGGAGACCTACAACGTTGTTGCGATTAGCAAGGATGGCGTCGACCCACATGTGGTGCCAGATAGCTTACCTGTCAGTGAGGCACAACGTGAACATCCGGTTCAGCACTCGGGTAGCCTCCTCCAGCTTCGCATTCTTCTCTAGACCAGTGGCCACATCATCTTGGAAGTCATCACCGAACCCATCGGACTCCTGGGAAGCGAGCTCGGCATCGGCTTTCCTCGCGAATTGTCGCAAATACCTCCCCACCACATACAGACATGGAATCGTCCATGCCTGGAGACCGCCCGTCGAGTATCCCCGGATAAGCTGGTTGGCCGTCTCCTTCCACGCATTGAACACTTTGACCCAGCTGGCGCGCGAAGAAGCCTCCTCGAACCGAACCAGCTCCCCAGCAGCGCTCCAGTATGCCGCGAAAATGTCCACCCATGAGTTTTGTTCCTGCTTCGGTAGTCGTATGCCATTGGCCTGAAAGAGGGAATAGCGAAGGTCGGACGATAGACGCGCGGCGTTGGAGAAGTAGTAGAATGACTGTAAACGGCCAGGGTTCGCGGCGGTCGAGACGGGGGTAAGAGCTGCGGCTAGGTGGTGACCAGAGCCAAGTTTCTGGCCATCCTTGAACTCTTCGAAGATTGAGCCCATTATGGCATAGGGGGGAAGTGGATGAGTATGATAGTCCCTAGCAGTCCGTAAGTGAAGATGATATGTTAAGCACTCGAGGGTGGCCGGAATGGTTCAAGAAAGCTGACGATGAGACTCGATAGACAACAAATGACCCTGCCCGATGATGAAACGGCGATCGGAGAAGGCGGGGAAAAAGAAGCGGATGCCGCCCGCCCGAAAGGCCTTATCTAATCCTCACCGCCACAGCGCTGTGGCTGAGAGGCCTGATCAGGAATAGCACCGGCCAAGCCTCACGGTCGCTTAGCCCTAAGGAGGGTTAAACCTAGCTCACAATCAATCCGGTTCCCAAAAATCCTCCCTTCCGCGACGAGTACAACCGGCACATCTCTCGTCGACTAACCACTACAGCGTCAATCAAAGTGAGCCCACCCTTTTTGTCCCTCTTTTTACTGCCAGGAAATTGTTACTGACTGAATTAACCAGATGGGTGAGTTAACATTTTTTTGAATTTTTCGATATGGTCCCCTTGGCGGTTCGGTTTCTTTTTTGCGATGAAATATTTTTGCGATCGAACGAGACACACCACGGAGATAGAAATTGGTCGACCACGATTGAACTTCTTGACACGCGCGAACGGAGGAAGAATGTGACGGGGTTTCGGTTTGACAAGGGAGGATGAACAACAATCGAGGAAGACACGGACACGTTATCATCTTTTACTCGAGTCGCCACTGTTCGATCATGTACACCAGTACCCGAATCTTACCACGCAGACACCAATTCATCGATCCAAGCCAATCCACCAAGGGGACCGCACAGTCACACTGTCGGATGGGTTTTCTGACTGGAATCAATAGGGCGTCTCCAAGAGTACCAGGTTATCGGGCGTCACCTGCCCACCGAGGCCAACCCCACGCCCAAGCTGTACCGCATGCGCATCTTTGCGCCCAACACCGTTGTCGCTAAGTCGCGGTTCTGGTACTTCCTGACCCAGCTCCGCAAGGTCAAGAAGGCCAACGGTGAGATCGTCAGCCTCAACGTGGTATGTCTACAATGTCCGCCCGCAAAAAGTCAATGGCAAGTGTCGGCTGACACTCGACCTCTCTCCAGATCAGCGAGAAGCGCCCCCTCAAGGTCAAGAACTTCGGTATCTGGCTCCGCTACGACTCGCGCTCCGGTACCCACAACATGTACAAGGAGTTCCGTGAGATGAGCCGCACCGAGGCCGTTGAGGCTCTCTACCAGGACATGGCTGCCCGCCACCGTGCCCGTTTCGGTTCCATCCACGTACGTTCCATCACTACTGCCTCCTTTCCGAAGGCTCTCAACAACAGAACATTCCTAACGAACCCCCGCAGATCCTCAAGGTTGTTGAGATCGAGAACGCCGACACCATCCGCCGCCCCTACATCAAGCAGCTCCTCACCAAGGACCTCAAGTTCCCCCTGCCCCACCGCTCCGTCAAGCCTGGCAAGAAGCTGTACGCTTACTCTCGCCCCTCTACCTTCGCGTAAATGTGAGGATTTGGGCGTGGGGAAGTGGAGTGTAGGAATGAATGACTATGTTATGGCCATAGCATGCACGAAGGACACGGATCACGCGGAGAACAAGGCGTGTATCTACAACCCAGAAAATGGGACGGATGGTTTTTATGTCTCTTTAGTAGTCCTCTGCAGCGACCCTTTCAAGTTATTTCACAAAAATACCGGGGTTATTTCTTTTTTGTTCACTCAACCTACTTTTCTGGTTCTGTGGGTTCGTAGATCTTCATCCTTAGCTGGGTTAAGATAATTGATCCGTATGTGACTAAATCTTGAGTCGCTGGCTAGAACAGTCGGCCTCCCCTCTTGGCCAGCCTGAACCTCTCCGCTCCGTCAGGTTCGGCGTTATGTGTCCGCCCACGCCAAGCCCGGGGGCCAGGTCTTGATGGGAGTGTGACAGCAGAAACAGCAATCAGGGCCTGGCTCGGATCTATGCATAGTGGGTACGAGGACTGGCACATCCGTCGGATGAACATTTGAGAGGATGTGGGAAAAGATATTCCAGGCTTGACATCATCCACCTTCCGCCCTTGATCCGGCTGCAGGGTGCAGATAGGAAGACAGCCACCTGGTCGTTCGCCTTTCGATGAGCACGCCATCGGCTCAGTCTAGTGGTTGTGCAATGCTTCTGTGGGTGAACATGCACGGTTACGTATCAAATCGAGGCATCGGCAGCCGTTCATCTTCCTTAGGTGAGCCTCTAGGTAGACGATTCCTGTTGCTTCAGAGTCGATTTAGAAGTAGATACAATCGATTTTCGAGATCGTAGTTTGCCAAGGACTATCTATATCCGTTATTCCAGAATCGAGAAGCAACGGCGTACTGGCCTTGAGGACACAAAGATGACTTCTCTACATGCAAGTCACAGAACGGCCTCAATAAATGAAGCGGCATGTTTTTTTTTTGTGAGAAGAAAACTCAGGTATGCGACGATACACGCAATGCCTCGACAACTGCCTACCATGATCCGACCCCGATTGCCGGGGCCGGGTTAGTAATACCTGCGGAATTACCGCCAGGAACGGACATTGCGTCATGTGCGAGAACGGCGCTTCGGAGTCCGAAGTGAAGGGGAGGATCTCAAATATCTCCCTTACCCGTCCGAGCTTTTCCCTACTCTCTCCGCATCCACCTCCCCAAACAGTCCCATTGAGCACGTATTTGTCCTCAATCTGACATTTCAAAATGTTCGCTCGTCAAGCTTTCCGCTGTTCTCAGTCCCTGAAGCAGGTAAGCACTTCCATCCGAAAGATTGTTGTGTCTAGCGGTCGCAATCTTTCCCGCCCGTGCCTGGGACCGAATTCCTCCGCCGGGAAGAATGAATTTGCGCTGATTGATTGCTGTTTTGACAGGGCTTCCGCAAGTACTCCACGGAGGCGCCCAAGGCCAAGGCCTCCTTGGCTCCTATCTACGTCGGTGTCGGTCTTGCTGGTCTTGGTGTTGGTTTGTACCGCTACAACTCGGCCTCCTCTGCCACCGCCGAGGCCCCCGTCGTCCGCGAGAAGGTTTTCAAGGGTGGTGACCAGGGATGGTTCGACCTGAAGCTGTCCGAGATTGAGGTTCTCAACCACAACACCAAGCGTCTGCGCTTCGAGTTCGAGGACAAGGAGGCTGTCTCTGGTCTCCAGGTTGCCTGTGAGTCGAACGAGAGGTCCCACTACTGGAGAAATTTGGCCGACAACTGATGTGTGTTCCGTTAGCTGCTCTCTTGACCAAGTTCAAGCCCGTCGATGCTAAGGCCGTGATCCGCCCTTACACTCCCACCAGCGATGAGGGTTAGTGGCGCGTTTTTTTTCTTTTTTTCTTTTTATTTTTTCTGTTGTTCGCCAATCGGAATACTGACCCTGCATATGCAGAGACTCCCGGGTACATCGACCTTGTCGTCAAGGTCTACCCCGACGGAGCCATGTCCAACTACCTGCACAACATGAACGTCGGCCAGCGCCTGGACTTCAAGGGTCCCATCGTCAAGTACCCCTGGGAGACCAACAAGCACAAGCACATCACCCTGATCGCCGGTGGCACCGGTATCACCCCGATGTACCAGCTGGCCCGTGAGATCTTCAAGAACCCCGAGGACCAGACCAAGGTCACCCTCGTGTTCGGCAACGTGACCGAGGAGGACATCCTCCTGAAGAAGGAGTTCGAGGAGCTCGAGAACACCTACCCCCGGCGCTTCCGGGCCTTCTACGTCCTGGACAAGCCCCCCAAGGAGTGGACCGGTGGCAAGGGCTTCATCAGCAAGGAGCTCCTGAAGACCGTCCTCCCCGAGCCCAAGGAGGAGAACATCAAGATCTTCGTCTGCGGTCCCCCCGGCCTGTACAAGGCCATCAGCGGCCCCAAGAAGAGCCCCGCCGACCAGGGCGAGCTGTCCGGAGTCCTGGCCGAGCTGGGCTACAGCAAGGACCAGGTGTTCAAGTTCTAAGCCAGCTGTATATGATAACCATGAAGCTCTCTCTGTTTCGTTTCGGCGATTGCTCTCCCCCACGGAGATTCGAATGTGGACCCCCTGTGGGGGTTTTAGAAGGCACGTCCTTGTTATATTAGAGACCTTGGATTAGCGAGCAGTGATTTTTCCTGCGAGCAGGCGCGAAATGATATACCTAGCTTTGATCTTTCAAGTCTTGCGTTTACTGTGTATGGCAGCAGTTTTGCTTCGCATAGACCATAGAGCACTCTCGATCTTCGGCGTGACTGTAAATAGAACATCTTGCGGACTGATCTACTGTTCAACACACTTCGAGTCTGGATGTAGTTCAATTCGACAGTCCCCGAATTTCATGTTGTATGAGATCAACAATACGCTTTCCGATTCAGAGTGTCTTGTGAACCATAGTAGTACATAAATTGAGGACAATTCGGCATGAACACCAGACCTGGGCGTGGGGGCGGGGGAGCATGATGCTGCGCCGGGCAGTGTTTTGGGGGAGGGGGGGCGTATGGAAAAAATATATAGTAACTATAGTTAGGTATTGTGACCTCACCGACAAGTCTAGCTGTGCCACACAACAACAAAACCCCATCCATCCTCTTAGCATTTCGCGTACATACTAGGATCAACTAAACGTTGGAAAATCTTTACTCAAAGAAAACTTACGCATCCACATTGTATATATATACCCCAACACGACTGATCACAGAAGGTGGTTTTTGTATTCCAGTTGGTGGTGGTGGTGGTGGTGGTGGCGGCTACCTAGCTAACCCCCTCGGGAGGGGGAGGGGGGAAGCAAGTGCGCTGCACGGCAGGGTTGACGAACTCGAGCGAGGTGCAGGTGCGTGCGGGGTACCAACTGTACCGTACCTAGAGCAAAGCGGACGCGCCCGGAGCGAGGTGGTGTACAGTACCAGCGGTGAGTGTAGATTCGAACCGGAGTTACTGGTCTGGTGGACAAAGAGATGAGGACACGAAGGAATAAAGTTATTCTTTGATTCACGGGCTATTGGACTATTGGGCTATTGGGCTATTTAGCATGGGTGTATTATCTGGGAGGACTTTTGTTTGGGTTGATTGAGTATATGTTTGTTTATTGTTATTCGTTATGGAGGTCATTTGTTCTATGGGGTAGTTAGTGTACTAGGTATTGTACAGTTGACAGAGGAAATAGGCGTCAGCGCGACGTAGCCGCGCCTAAATGAATCAGATACATCATGTTTTGTTTGTGGTGGTGGTTTGGGGGGAGAAGCGAGAGGAAAAGCAAACCGGCCTTCTATTGTTCTGCGGGCAGGGAAGGGGGGGGGGCGCGGTTGTGCTGTGACCATGGGGACTTGGGTGTCCTGGGCAGTGGGTTTTAGCGGGTTTCAGCGGGTTGCCGAAGCAGCTGAAACTGGGAGGTTTGAGGGCTGAGTTTCCGAATGGGCCCGAGACCGTAGTGTTTTGTGTGTGTGTGCTGCAGGACGCTATTAGCGACAAGCTTGACGGGGGGATGATCGGGGGGGGGGGGGGAAAGAGGAAGAGGGGGGGGCTGTTGGTTGTTTACAATTTGGAAGTGTTTAGGGGAGGTAGGGAGGGACGGCGGCTCCCGCTGCTTACCCTCCCTAAAGACTGCCAGGGTGCTCAGCCCCCCCCCCAACCCTGAAGAAAGGGACCTTCAGCGCTCGGCCAGAGCAGACACGAAGGTTGGTGTTTCCTAAGCCCAAAGCAGCGAGCATTGCCAGCGTCCACCCCCCGGGCCATCGGGCCATCACTATTTAGAAGGGAGTCTTCCCGCTAGGCTCGGGACCCCGCTAGCGAAAATTCTTCCTTCTTTTCCCTTCCCTTCCCACCCTCCCGTTTAACTCTTCCTTCCCACACTTTCTTCCTTTCTTCCCACTCTTTCCCCTCCCACCCCCCCCCCCCCCCCCCCCCCCCAAAACGCACATCTCTCCACCTGTCCTCCCACCCACCCTCCAGACGTTCAGAAGTCGTGGTATTCGCCACCACACGTTTGTCGCATCATGTCGCCCAAGGAGGATTCCAAGGCCAGTGATGCCACTATCACTGTCAATGTAGATGATTTCACGCGCACTCGCGATAATGTAAGTTTCCTGGCTGATTTCTTTCATTTTTTTGTTGTTTTGATTGCCTGGTGAGCGGTGGGCGCTGCTCCTCTTCCCGGCTGCCCCCAACCCGGGCGACTTGGGCCGCCGCGCTCCTCTCAACCATCGCCTACGCGTCAGTAAACAACGCGGCGCTTCCCTGATGCAAAGTCGAGGGTCAGGAGGGCTTGCTTTTATTCAAATTTCATTTCGTTACACAAGCTGGCCATTCAGCAGTGGGCTTGTACCCTGCCCAAGCTCCTCAGCCCCCCTCTGACATTGCGCGCCACCGCCTCCTGCTTTGTTTTGGCACTGGCAATGCTTGCTTGCCACGGCCCGATGCGCCCCGCTCCGGCGCATCGCATCCCTCCTTCACCGCAAGCTTCACCTCTCCCATTGACCCGCCCGTCCCAATTGTCCTTCGCTTCAATGGCGCCCTATTGCAAACATGTCTTCAATTCAGCATTAATCTAACAACCTCCTAGGTCATTGCCAGCCTCGCGCAACTGGCCAAAGCGGTCACCACCGTGCAGGAAGCTTACATCAACCATGCCAACACTGTCCTGGGCCGGGATCCCGTTCCTCTGCTTGACCTGAGCCACCTCACCAGTGGCATTGCCGGCGCTCTCTATGGCTCTGGTGCTCGCGCCACGAGCCCTGGCGCGAATGCGGACACGGATGGGAAGAAGAAGCGCAAGCGCGCTCCCCCGGACCCGAACGCTCCCAAGCGCGCCCTCACCCCTTTCTTCCTCTACATGCAACACAACCGTTCCGTCATTGCTAAGGACTTGGGTCCCAACGCGAAGCCCAAGGAGGTCTCCGATGAGGGTACCCGCCGCTGGGCCGAGATGGAAGAATCCGAGAAGGAGGTATGTTGCCACCCCGTCTGCCCCTCGCTATCAATTCCCTCGAGAGAACTAGACTAATAGTGCTGGACAGATCTGGAAGAAGCTTTACGCGGATAACCTGGCTGAGTACAGGAAGAAGGTAGTGGCTTACAAGGCTGGACTGCCCTATGAGGATGACCTCAAGGCTGAAAACCAGCTGCACCAAGGCATGGAGACCGGCGAGCCCTCGGATGAGTCGGAAGAAGAGGAAGAGGAGGAGGAAGAGGAAGAGGAAGAAGAGTCCTCCCCGGAGCCTGTTCGGGAGCCCACTCCGCCGCGCAGCGGTAAGCGCCGCCGCAGCGAGGGCAAGCCTTCCCAGACCAAGGACGCCGCGACCCCCAGCGCCAGGAAGGAGTCTCCTGAGAAGAAGAAGCGTACCTCTGCCCGGAAAGAGAAGGAGAAGGAAGATGAGCAACCCCCTGCCTCAGCTCGCAAGACCGCGAGCGCCGAAGCCAAGCGCACCAAGAAGAAGCGCAAGAGTGAGGTTGGCAATGAGGAGTAAGTTCGGTCCCGAGGGATCGGTTTATATCGGGACGATGACCATGTATATGGGATGGATGTTTGATCTGAATGCTGCATGTAGCATATGGGGATTGGATCTATTTCTGGATTGATGCGCTTTCTTATGGAATGCTGTTGCTGTTGCTGTTGCTGTTGCTGTTGCTGCTGCTGCTGGTGCTGGGTTTGTTTTGCGGGCCTGATGTCAACGGCGTCTGCGGATTGACGGGTGTGGGGTTATTAGTGGGTGTGTTTGTCTTGTTCTTTCCATTTCAGTTTTCATCATATTTTTTTTTCTCATGATTTTGCTTTTTTCTATTTCTGTTAGCTTTGAGAATTTATAAGAGCTTCTTATGAACGTGATAAATGTCAATGGCCGGTGACTGCCGATGGAATCCACAGTTTTGACTGGAAAGCGTTAGTCACTCGGCAGACGCGCCGCTGCGATAGGTCATCCGTTGGCTTATCAGCTCGAGCTTCGACTTTCCTTGCCCGCCGCTTATCGGCAGCTCATCTTTCGTTCCCCACATTATTTCTCGTTCTTAACCTGGAATTTCCCCCCCGTGGTGGTCCATCTGCGTAGAGTCCCCAGTCGACAGCTCTCGCCCTCTCTCTTGTACCCACGGGGTAACTCTTGGCTGCTGCAGTGTCCGTCTCGCCACACTGTCGCCGTGAAGGGGCGCTGCGACTATATTAGGTAGACACACAAGAACCCGCTGCCCGCCGCTGTCAACCATGCATTTGGTACCAAAGGAGGTCTGTGCCCATCTCACCTCCTCCCAAGTCTAGGTATACCCAAGCTGACCAGTATCGCGCCTCTTTAGCTTGACAAGCTCGTCATCTCCCAATTGGGATTCCTGGCCCAGCGCCGTCTCGCACGTGGTGTGCGACTCAACCATGCGGAAGCTTCGGTACGTTGCAACAAAAAAAAAACAATTCCCTTGTAGAGTTGACCCTCGATTGACGAGGAGCAGCGGCTAACCCGCATACCTTTAGGCCTTGATTTCATCCAACCTGCAAGAGGTAACTCATTCTCTTGAGGCTTGCTACCTTTCTCGTGACTTACCCTCATGCTTGCGTAGTTGATCCGTGATGGAGAGTATTCCGTGGCCGACCTCATGTCCATCGGCAAGACAATGCTGGGTCGCCGGCACGTCCTCCCCTCGGTTTTCTCGACCCTGGTCGAGCTGCAAGTCGAGGGAACCTTCCCGACGGGCACCTATCTCGTGACCGTGCATCACCCGATTAGCAGTGATGATGGGGACCTGGAAAAGGCGCTCTACGGAAGCTTCCTCCCCATTCCGCCGGCTGACGCGTTTCCGGACCCGGACCCCGCCGACTACACGCCCGAGAGCATGCCCGGAGCCATTGTGCCGGTCCCGAACAGCCGCATCGCGCTCAATGAAGGAAGGAAGCGCATCAAGCTCAAGGTTATGAGCAAGGGTGACCGGCCCATCCAGGTCGGCTCCCACTATCATTTCATCGAAACGAACCCGCAGCTGCACTTTGACCGCCTCCGTTCGTATGGATACCGGCTAGACATCCCCGCCGGCACGTCCGTTCGGTTCGAGCCGGGTGACACCAAGGTCGTTACGCTCGTGGAGATCGGGGGCCACCAAATCATCCGAGGAGGAAACTGCCTGGCTTCTGGCAAGGTGGATCTCAGCCGTGCTGAAGAGATTATGATGCGCTTGCAGGCAGACGGATTCGCTCATGTCTCC